AATCAGAAAGACGGCACCCAGACATTCGAATCAATAATTGGTACAGGTTAGCAAGTCATTCTACCGCGAGGGTTCGACAATGATCCTTCCGCAGGTTCACCTACGGAAACCTTGTTACGACTTCTCCTTCCTCTAAATGATAAGGTTCAATGGACTTCTCGCAACGTCACGGGCAGAAAACCACCCACATCACCACGATCCGAACACCTCACCGGATCATTCAATCGGTAGGAGCGACGGGCGGTGTGTACAAAGGGCAGGGACGTAGTCAACACGAGCTGATGACTCACGCTTACTAGGAATACCTCGTTGAAGACCAACAATTGCAATGATCTATCCCCATCACGATGAAATTTCAAAGATTACCCGAACCTATCGGCCAAGGCTATATGCTCATTGAATACATCAGTGTAGCGCGCGTGCGCCCCAGAACATCTAAGGGCATCACAGACATGTGATTGCCTCAAACTTCCGCGGCATAAGAGGCCGCAGTCCCTCTAAGAAGCTTCCCACGAAGGGATGCCTTTGCATAGCTAGTTAGCAGGCTGAGGTCTCATTCGTTAACGGAATTAACAAGACAAATCGCTCCACCAACTAAGAACGGCCATTAACCACCACCATAGAATCTTGAAAGAGCTCTCAATGGAAAGAGCTCTCAATAATAATGTGAATTTCTCTCTCTAGAACCCGTTGGTCTTCACCTCGAGATGAAGAGTACCACGGTTCTTCCCAAGAGATTTTCCCCTCGATTTTGTTGATGAAATTTGACGATTCTTGATGCTCTTGAATCGCCTTCAACCAAGGAACATGAATCCAGGTTCAATTTGGTGAATTCGTGGACAAAATTGGCCCAATTGAAAGTCAACCCCCACGCATGCACTGTTCTTCGCGAGACTGCCTGGGCTGTTTTCTTCTGGTTTGGAGCTGATTTGAACCCCAAAACTGAGGTATTGTGAGCGAATTGGAGTGTCCAATCACATTCTTAATTTTGTGGAGCAATCCTAACAAGAATTTGTGGTTTTGGAATTTCGGGTACTGTTCACAGTGAAATTCCAGCTCCAGTTTCTGCCTTCCTTTTCCTCTGGTTTCTGTCTGCGAATTGGGTGATTCCCATGTGTTGTTGAGCTGTGTTGGGTGATTCACAAGTTTGTTTGAGTTGGTTTCCTGTTTTTCTGGTGGTGTTTGGCTTCGTGTTTGCTGTTTTTCCCCTGGTCTGTTTCTTGTTGCTGCTGTGTTGGTACCACTGCTGTGTTTGTTGGTTTGAGCTATGGGCCACAATAAGAAGAACAAGAACAAGAAGGGAGCTAGAAAAAACAGCCACAACATTACAAACTTCGTCTTTGATGGAACCCTGGTTAGTGTGGCGAAGCAACGGGGGATTGCAAGGCCTAACAGTGGGCAGCAACTTCACTGCGCTTTGAGTGACAATGGCCAGCCCTCCTCCTCGGCTGATATTAGTGTCACACTCAACTCTTTTGACACAATATCGGATGAGGACAACGCTTTGTCACCAACGCTAATTGGGGAAAAACAGGATTGTGCAACGAGCAAAGGACCTGAAAGTAAAACCAACAGCCCCCTACGTACTTCTTCATCCACTTTGGCTAACCGGGATCCTGACGAGGGTATTCCTTTGGAAAAAGTAGAGGTTGGGGAGAAGGTAACAATTCCGGCAGAGGGATATCCATCTCTTGAGGAAGACTGGGGGTATTGCTTAGTGGGCTGCTTCACAGGCCGGTTCCCGGGCATCAAAGCCATAGAGGATCTCACATCCTCATGGGGCGTGCAATGTAAACTCCTCCCTCATGAACATGGCTGGGTCCTTTTCCAGTTCCCAAGTGATGAGGACCGAAGGATTGTCCTCCAAAATGGGCCGTATACGCTCTTTGGTAAGACTCTATTACTTCGTATTCCTCCGGAGGATTTTCGCTTCAACTTTGATGCGTTCATGACGGTTGATGTGTGGGTTAAGTTCGTTAACGTGTCCTTGCGATGTTGGAACAAAATTTCACTCCAATGCTTGGGGTCAAGGGTGGGAACCCCCAAGCGTACGGACCTTGGTACAAAGAGACGGGGGAGGATAAGTTTCTGCAGGATGTTGATCCAAGTTGACATGTCTAAAGAGCTACCCACCGCATTTGAGGTTTGCCTACCGGATGGGGGTAATTACATTCAGAAAGTTGTGTACGAGGGCCTCCCAAAATATTGCTACCATTGCAAGAAATTTGGACATAACCTTTTGAATTGTAGGGTTCTCCGTGCCCTACGCCTCAGAAAAAATGGAGAATTTGATGGCAAATCTTTGAGACACAAGGGGAAGATACCGAAGAAGGTCTTTGAGGGGGACAAAGCATCTACTTCTAATGGTCACTTTTTCTCTGTCTAAAATATTTTAGTAAGTCAGTTTCAAAATAAGTGTGTCAAAATTTCTTTAAAACATTTTTTTAAAGTTACACAATTTTCTTTGGTGAGAAAAACATACTTTAAATATTTTTCATATACATCGTTTGACACACAAAATAATTTTTTGACTCACTTTTTCTCCCCTATTCAAATTCATTGAATAAGGATATTATTTGTTTGAGGAGCGCTTCTTTATTCTCGCTGTCTCAAACACGGAGTTAGAAGCCAAAGGGCTTCCAATCGCGCTTGGCATGGGCCCTTTGTGTTTGCGCATTATTTTCATTTTAATCGATTATATCCTTTAAAATAATCGATTAGATCCAGCGCAATTTCTCAGGGTTTGAATTCTTAATCGATTTTCTCTATTAAAAAAATCGATTAGCTTGGACAGAACCTCCTAATCGATTTATTTCTTCAATTTAATCGATTTTTAAGCCTTTCGTTGGGCTGCTCAACCTTGATCAATAATCGATTAATTTTCCTCCTTTAATCGATTAGTTTGTACCGAACCTCCTAATCGATTATTTGTCTTCATTTAATCGATTATGACTCAGTTTTCTTTTCAGGCTTTTCGCTTCTGTACACTTTAATCGATTAAAATTCCTAATTTAATCGATTAATTCTCTCTAGTACAGAACATCAGCTTTCTTCAACGGCTTTATTTTCCTCAGCCTATTTAATCCCTCATTCTCCTTCATTTCAA